GGGTCGCAGGCCCGCCTACCTTGCAGGAGTGATTGGAAGCTCTGTCCTGCCGCGGGCCACTGGGCCTTTTCTGTCGGTGGTCACAGTTCCGCCTACCTGGCAGGCGCGGGGGGTGGGGGGCGGCTCTGCCCCTCAGCAGGCCGCTGGGCCTGCTCTGTGGGTGGTCACAGTTCTGTCTACCTTGCCGGCGCAGGGGGAGGGGGCGGCTCTGCCTCTCAGCAGGCCGCTGCTCTTCTTCTGCCGGTCAGGATAAAATTATTAACCATAGAGTAGATAACCAAATATGCAGTTAGAAAATAAACTGCTTTTGTTTGAGGTCAAGTCATTGTTTTTGTTTGAGGCTTGTTTTTGGATATGTGTGTGTGTTGAGAGTTTTTTCTTTTGCTTTGTTCACCATTCTCATGGTATGATATATAACATAATAAATGTTCTAGTCAAATACTGAAGTTTTATTTTTGACTAGAACTTTGCTTTCCTGTATTAGTTCAGCCATTAAGATGTTATAGATGAAAGTATGAAAGTTTCCTTTATCTCACATTTAGTTGTAGACCTAACTACCTGGATTTCTACCTATCTTTTCCATTCTTCCCACTCTTCTTCCCATTTTTCTTTTCTTCAAATTATTCATTATATAGGCAGAGTGATCTTTTAAGAATGTAAATTGTTTCATTTTCATCTCTTACTAACACCACTCTAAAGACAGTGAAATTAAGATTTGTATTACTTACCATGGCCTATTTCTGCCCTCTGGCCTTCTCTGACTTAAACCATTGATTCCAGCCAGGTATGGTGGCACATACCTGTAATCCCAGCAACTCAGAAGGCTGAGGCAGGAGGATCGAAAGTTCAAGGCCAGCCTCAACAGCTGTCTAAAAGTAAAAAACAAAAAGGGCTATGTATGTCGGTTAGTGGTAAAGGACTCCTGGGTTTGATCCCTAGACTGCAAAAGAAAATGAAATGAAATACAAATAAAAATAAATAAATCACTGATTCTTTGCTTCCTCCAGGTTAAGCTTTTTTTGACGTATATAAGTTTTCCTTTCAGGTGTTGTGTTTTCTGCATGACCAGATAGAATTTATCCTTCAGATACTGGCTTAAATGACACTTTTTACAAAGTGGACTTGAACCTTTAATTTAAGTTACTGTTTCTCACAACACCCTGTACCTCTTTTTACAACATACTAACCATTTCCTCTTCTGGGCTTCAATTCTGTGAAGACAGGGACTATGTTTAATGCAATTTTTCTTTTTTCAAATCTAACACCACATGCAGATCCTAATGTATGATTGGTTTTAAGTAAGTATTTATATAAAGAATGAGAAATATTTCATCTGAACTCCTCAGCACTTACCAATGACCCAGAGGCTTACACATTAAAACAATATATACCACCTAAATCTAAAAGTTGTATTTTAAAATTCTGCTTATAGAGGAAGTTCCAAACTATTTGCATTTAAGCTGACTTTTCTTAGCCCCCCCCCCCCCCCCTCTTTTTTTTCCTGGAGTCATTATTATTTTTTTTTTTTAAATTTTTTATTTTTGGTTGTTCAAAACATTACATATTTCTTGATATATCATATTTCACACTTTGATTCAAGTGGGTTATGAACTCCCATTTTTACCCCATATACAGATTGCAGAATTACATCAGTTACACATCCATTGATTTACATATTGCCATGCTAGTGTCTGTTGTGTTCTGCTGCCTTTCCTATCCTCTACTATCCCCCCCTCCCCTCCCCTCCCCTC